TCTCCTCTGGTTGCTTTTCTCTGGTAGTCAGAAGTTTTACTACAACTTTCCTAAGTGAAGAATTTTTTTATCCTGCTCATAATTCATAGGACTTCTTTAATTTGTCACAGTTTGGTTTTCATCAGTTTTGCAAAGCTCTTGGCTATTAGCTCTTCAAATACTGCTGCTGCGCCTTCTGTCTCTTCTCCTTCAGGACTTACTCAGACCATCTCATATATCTGCTATGCCTTTTAATAAACCTTGCTTCTTTTTGTTTCCATCTCTTTTGTCTCTCCATGCTTCATCCTGGGGAATTTCTTCTCACCCGCCTTCAGCTGTTTATAATCTACTCCTCTACTGATCCACTGACTTCTCGGTTTCCATCATTGTATTTTTCAGTCCCAGGTTTTTCATTTGATTGTTCTTTATTATAGTTTCTTGTTCTCAAAAAAATCTCAATATTGTCTTTTGTTGTCTTGAGTATGGTAAGCATAGTTATTTGTTCTGTCTGATAACTCCAATATCTGAATCTCCGTAGGTCTGTTTCTTTTTGTATGTTGATTTGCTGTTTCTAATTCTTGTTATCACGGTTCCTTATGTGTCTGGGCAATTTTTATCTTGCTCCCAACGTGGTATTGGCAGAATTGTTTATAGAGATAACTGGAGGCCTAAGTTTATGTAGTCTTTCTCCAGGAAAGATTTACCTTTGCTCCTTTTAGGCAACTGCAAGCACTAGTATTCTAAACCAGCTGTTCCATCTCAAGTCCCGGCAGGGACTGCCCACTTCGGACTCACCTTCATTGCTAGTGACAGCCTCTCCAGGTCCCAGCCCAGCGTGAGAGCCGTTTACCCATGACCTGCTCCTCTCAGGCCCCACTCTCTGATCTCTGTCCTGCCAGCCCCCGAGGCTGCCAGAGCCTCGCCCCAGGCCCCGTCTATTTCCTCTGGAGTCGGCAGATTCCCCCAGGAAGAGGGACTTCTCAAACTAGAAAACCTCCATGGCTTCCCCCTCCTTCTAGATTCTGGCCACTGTAATCCTCCACTGTCTTCAAGCAAAAGTTTTAAAATACTTGAATTGCCGATTCTAGATGCCCCCAGTGTGGGTGTTGGTTTAAACTAGTCTGTCATTACTGAAGCGGAACCCCTAATACCCTCTTTTCATAAATTAGATTATTAGGTCCAGAGAGACCATCATAGCTAGTTAAGAGCAGAGACAATGGAAGCCCGAGTATCCTGATTCTGTGTGATGTTTATTCTCTTTTTGTAAAATAAATACATTTATTTATTTAGATGCATTTATTTAAATTTTAGCCAATATACAGTGCAATATTGGTTTCAGAAATAGAAATCAGTGATTCATCACTTACATATAACACTCAGTGCTCATCATAACAAGTATCCTCCTTAGTACCCATCACCCATCTAGCCTCTCCCTTGCTCACCTCACTCCATTAACCCTCAGTTTGTTCTCTATTGTTAAGAGTCTCTTGTGGTTTGTTTCTCTCTCTTTTCTCCCCACCCCCTTCCCATATGTTCTTCTGTTTGTTTCTTAAATTCCACGTATGAGTGAAATCATATAGTATTTATCTTTCTCTGGCTGACTCATTTGACTTAACATAATAGATTCTAGTTCCACCCACATCATTGCAAATGGCAAGATTTCATTCTTTTTGATGGCTGAGTAATATTCCATTGTGTATATATACCACATCTTCTTTATCCATTCATCAATTGATGGACGTTTGGGCTCTCTCCACAGTTTCGCTATCATTGATAGTGCTGCTATAAACATTATGATGCATGTACTCCTTTGAATCTGTATTTTTGTATCCTTTGGGTAAATACCTAATTGTACAATTGTGGGATCATAGGATAGTTCTATTTCTAGTTTACTGAGGAACCTCCCTACTGTTCTCCAGAGTGGCTGCACCAGTCTGCATTCCCACCAGCAATGCAAGAGGGCTCCTCTTTCAACACGTGTGATGCTTACCTTGTTCACCACTGCCAAAGTGTGTAGATAGATCTAGTAGCATTTTGTTGTTTGCTTTGCTCGGTGACACTTCTCTTAGTTTATTCATCAAGCAGTAAAAGCCCTGTATGCCAGGAAACTCGCAGAAAATCCTCAGATAATTAGTACCCCTTCCCTCCCATCTCATTAAAGTTGTTATAAATTTACTTAAACTTTTAAAAAGTGAGCCACACTGGGGCGCCTGGGTGGCTCAGTCGGTTATATGTCCAACTTTGGCTTAGGTCATGATCTCATAGTTCGTGAGAGTGAGCCCCATGTCAGGCTCTGTGCTGACAGCTCAGAGCCTAGAGCCTGCCTCTGATCTGTCTCCCTCTCTCCCTGCCCCTCCCCCACTCATGCTTGCTCTCTCTCTCTCTCTCTCTCTCTCAAAAATAAATAAGCATTAAAAAAAAAAGATTTAAAAAGTGAGCTGCAGTCTCCCCATATAAATCTTCCATTACAGATTCAGTGAACATTTGATCACTCATCACTATTTTCTAAAGTAAGATTCTGCTTGTACTTTATAATAATGTCGATCCTCTGCTTAATACCTGAGCCAAGGATTGATGTTCCAGAATAGGGAAGAAGTATCAGTCATCTACTAACTTAACAAATCACCCTAAAATCTAGTGCCTTGAACAACAGTGTATTGTGTCTCATGATTTGGTGGGTTGACCAGCCAGTTCTGTTGGGCTCACCAAGTGGCTCTAGTCAGCTGAGGTTGCATGGTCTAAAAGGGCTCGCTCACACGCCATGGCTGGATGACTGGGACAGCTTGGCCTCTTTCTTCATACAGTTTTTAGTCCTCGATTTCTTCACATGATGGAAGAAGTGTTCCAAAAATTCAAAGCCTCTCAAGGCTGAGTCTCCACAAGTAACCCAGTATCACTTCTGCCATATTCTGTTGGTGACCCTGCTCCCCAGAATGTGCAAACAAGTTATATTGCATGGCAAGGTAGAATGAAGGTTGCAGATGGAGTAAAGATTGCTGATTTTCGACCTTAAAATAAAGAGATTCTCCTGCATTATCCAGGTAGGCGCTGTGTAAATTTAAGAGCCCTTCAAAGGGAAAGAGGGATGCAGAAGAGTCAGACCAGAGAGATGGTATCATTCAAAAGACTCAACAGGCCGTTCATTACTCGCTTTCAAGATGGAAGGAGGCCACAAGCCAAGAAATGTAGGCAGTCTCTAGAAGCTGGAAAAGATAAGAAAGTGAGTTCTCTAGAAAATAAGAGCCCTGCTGACACCAAGATTTTTAGCCCAGTGAGACCCACCTTAGACTGCTGACTTCCAGAACTGTGTGAGAATAAATTTGCATTGTTTTAAGCCACCAAATTTGTGATGTTGTCGAAAACCGACCTCTGTGCTTCAGAGCTGAAGTATAACACAAAGACAGAGTTTGGGATAAAGGGGAACGAGAGTTTTTTTGTGCAGCAGGCCGTGGCCTTCAAAAACTGCAAGCCCTCCTGGAGGAAGGGGCTGGGACATTTTATAGGGAGATACAGGATCCAGCCGGTTCTGACAGCCGTGTGTAAGTGATACCAGCCTCCTTCCTCGTGCTTTAGGCTGGCACGGGTTTCTGGAGCAAAAGGCTAAGAAGGGAGAAGGGAGGTTTGCAGAAGAGACGAAGAAGGTTCCTTCAGAATCTAACCTCACTGGAGCCTTAGTGCAGCCATCTTTATTTTTGTCCAACTTTGTGCTTTCAAGCAGTCTCAGTGGTAGTCTGCAGCAGCAGCAGCAGGAGGAAACCAATACCGTAGGGCCCAGAAAAAGGAAGAAAGTGGCATTCTTTTTCATCAGGAAAACAGCATGATAAATTTATGCTTGGAGCTTCCTGTGCGGATGTTGAAAACTCACTCCGTTCAGAATGCAAGTAACTTCACATTCTTCAAATCTCTTCTACTTCTTAAATTATTTACTACTTCTTTTTACCTCCAGCCCACAGTGGAGCTCAAAATTGCCTAATTATCTACAGAGGACTCTATCTCTTAATTAAAGTGCATCTGTGTGTCTGCTAGGTAATAGATCAGAGAAGAGAAAGTAACTCTTTACTCTGTAAGTAGGACACATTTGACCTCCTTGATTCATCTAGTAATAATTTGTTACCTTTCAGCAGACCAGAATCTATGCCAGCACAGTTTTATACTTAAGAGGAGTTATGATCTGATGCATGGTACAAAGTTTAATTGGCCCAGAGGGAAGGATTTCTTGCTGGGCTCTTTCTTAGAGTCCCTGACACCTACAGGAGGTTTTGTGACTTCTCTGCTTACAAATTTTAATCTCTTTTTCAAAAGCACAAACGAACGTGATGATGTCAGTGGTGATGGCGATGATGGCGGCTGACACTATGGAGCACTTACTGTATGCCAGGGCTGTGCTTATGTTTTATGTTCTTCACTCTGGTTCCTCTTTACCGTGGTTCCTGCCTCTTTCTATTAAATTACTCTTTCTGGGGGCGCCTGGGTGGCTTAGTCGGTTAAGCGTCCGACTTTCGCTTGGGTCATGATCTCGCGGTTCGTGGGTTCGAGCCCAGCGTCGGGCTCTGTGCTGACTGCCAGCTCAGAGCCTGGAGCCTGTTTCAGAGTCTGTGACTCCCTCTCTCTCTGACTCTCCCCTGCTCACGCTGTCTCTCTCTCTCCTAGAAATAAATAAAACATTAAAAAAAATTTAAAAAAAAAAATAAATAAATAAATTACTCTTTCTGGAACTTTTTAACGTTCCATCAATACACATAAACTCAATGTTTACCTGTCTCAACTATTTACTCCTTAGTTTTATCCCCTTTCTACAATTCCTGATGATTCCTAAAATATAATAAAACAAAAATTTAGCTAAATGCACAGGAACTTCCAGTCTTGAAGGGGAAGGGAGAATACTGTATTCACAAGGATATGTCTGAGAAATTAGAGGCACTGAGCTTAATTTGACACAGTTAACACTAATTACACGTTAGCATCCTTAGTTTGGGATTTTTCTCCAGTGAAACTTATCATTTGCTGATTTATTTCTTTAGGAGCCCTATTATGTACGTTGCATCAAACCCAATGACAAGAAATCCCCACAGATATTTGATGATGAACGCTGCCGGCACCAAGTAGAGTATCTCGGACTCCTGGAAAATGTGAGGGTGCGGCGGGCAGGGTTTGCCTTTCGCCAGACGTACGAGAAGTTTCTTCACAGGTGAGAACGGGCTAAACCAAGAAGACACTGAGACCTCTGGGGTCCTCCGCGGACGTGCCGCTTCGTCAGCATATGTCAGATAGTCCAAATACCTGTTGAACGAGTAAGAGTTGAGGAAACCGCAAATGTGAAGGACTTTCTCAGAGTCAGCAGGAGAGTCTCCCTGAGTCTACAGTTCATGGGCCATGAGAAAAGATTCATATGTTGGGGGGAAGATGTGGGCTGTGTAGTATGGCAGAAAGAACATGGACTCGGAGGCATGTCTGGGTTGGCATCTGGGGTATGCCACTCAGTTGCTCTGTGATCTTAGGCTAGAAATTGAACTTTTGACTCTGTCTCTGCTTCTATAAAATGAGTATAATAACATTACCTCATGAGGCTGTTGTTGTAATGATGAAATTAGCCTAAGTAAAAGAAAACTAGGTGCCTAGCACATAATAGATGTTCAGTTAATGCTGCTTTATCATTATTGGTATTAGTAATTATCATAATAATAAAATATTAAGCAGTTAATCATGAAGACCTTGAAATTAGTCTATCTGGTTTGAATCCTGGCTTTGCCATTTGTCAGTTTTTTGACCTTAGGGAGATGACCTAATCTTTCCATGCCTGTTTCCTCATGTATAAGAAGGGAGTAATTATAGTAACTACTTTTTAGGGTTGCTGGAGCATTAAATAATAGATAGATATATCTATATCTATCTATCTATCTCTCTCTCTCTCTATATATATATATATAAACCACTTAAAATAGAACCTGGCACATAGCAGTCATTCAAGATATATAAGATATCATTGCCACTGTTATTTCTTGTTAGTAATAATAATGATATTGGACAACTGAGACTCATAAAAGTCCCTTTAAATTCCATTTGTTCATTTGTCTAGAAGTATTTATTGAACATTTTCTGTGTTCTAGACTGCAGATTTCACAAAATATGAATAAATAGATAAAATATTGGTTGGTCAGAAGAGTCTCTAAGGAGATGATAATGACAGGTAGGAGCCGGCCGTACAAAGATCAGAGAGAAGAGCAGATGGGCAGAGGGAACAGTGAGGAAAAGGCTCTCTTGTAGCAGTAAGTGTGGCGTGTCAGGTAGCAACTATAGCCATGTGGTTGGAGGCTGCTCACTGACAGGGCAGTGGTGTAAGATGAGATCAGAGGGGTGGACAGGGGGCAGATCATGTCGAATTTTATAATCCAGGCTGAACAGTTTCAATTTGGGCTAAATGTGGTAGGAACCCGTGGGTGAATTTGAAGCCAGGAACAACACAATCTTACGGATATCTGAGTAGATACCGTGGCTGCTGTGTGGATAGGAAGCAAGGTGACATTCAGAGATGTCACTACAGGAACCCAGGGGAGGGGGCTTGATAGTGCCTTGAACAAGAGATTATTATAGACCCAAGGGTATAGACAGATTTGGGATATGTTTTAGGGGAAGGTTGGCAAGTCTTGCTCCTGGATTGGCTGGATAAGAGAGGAATAGAGAGGAGCAAAGGGTGACAGTTAGGTTTGGCACAAGCACCTGGGTGAGCATAGCACCCTATGCTGAGCTAAGACTGGGAAAGAGAAGCTTGAGGAAGAGGTTGTGGAACAGGCGCAAAGACAGAATTAAGATTTGTCTCTTGACCGTTAGGCTTGACATGGCTACTAAAAATCTAGGTAGAAATATTAAGTAATTTACTAAATGCACATGTCTGGAGTTCCAGGTGGAAGCGTGGGCTGGAGATAGAGATGCCGGAGTCATGAGTGTAGAGATGATCTATACAGTCTTAGAACTGGATAGACAAGAGAAAGAGGCCCATGCAAGCATTTAGATGTGCGATCTGACATGAAGGAGCCACCGAAGAGAAGAGAAGGAAACACCAGTGAGATAGAAGAGATACTAGGAGAGGGGTATGTCACAGAAGCCAAAATAAGATGGTGTTTCAGGAAGAAAAAACATTGTTTCCATATCAAATGTTGCATGCAATCAAGTAAGATAAAGGTGGAAGCTTAAGCTAATGATTTGGCAACATAGAGGTCAAGGGAGAAAAAGTCAGGCAGAGCCTGATTTGAACAGGTAGGGAGAGTGAAGTGTGAAGCCGGATGCCCGTAGGACAGCTCAAGAATCCATGCTGTGAAGGAGGGCGGGAAGAATGGGAGCAGGAGCAGGAGTGGGATGTGAGGTCAGGAGACACTAGGAAAGGTATGCCAGTGGGGCTGACGCGCAACAGAGGGAGAGCCCGGTGGTGCGGGAGAAAGGGAGGACATTGTCATCACCATAATATCCCTGAGAAGGCAAGGCTCAGAATCCCAAGCACAGGTGGGAGGTTTGTCAGCTCCATGTCAGAGCACGGACACTTCCCCCATAGCAACAGGGCAAAAGGCAGAGACTCTGAATACAGATGCAGAAAGGCCCGAAGGCTGGCAAAGATGAACATGTTCCTATCTGATTGCTTCTGTGTCCTTAATCAAGTATGAGGCGAGGCCAAGAGTGGGGAGTGAGAATAAGGAGGGGTGGTGTGGGGGGTCTCAGGGGAAGTAGGAATACTCATTTTAGAGAGTGGGAACGCACAGGTTTGTACAGAAGGATTGCCCCAGGAAGACCTGAGTGTCCATGTGAGATCTGAGGTTATAAATGGACAGTGAGGGGCGCCTGGGTGGCTTAGTCGGTTAAGCGTCCGACTTTCGCTTAGGTCATGATCTCGCGGTTCGTGGGTTCGAGCCCCGCGTCAGGCTCTGAGCTGACTGCCAGCTCAGAGCCTGGAGCCTGTTTCAGTCTGTGACTCCCTCTCTCTCTGACCCTCCCCTGCTCATGCTGTCTCTCTCTCTCTCCTAGAAATAAATAAAAAATAAAAAAATAAATAAATAAATAAATAAATAAATAAAAAAATAAATGGACAGTGAGACCACCAGCATTATTTTTCTCCACCAGTGTTCAGCAACTTTTGCACAGAAGTGAAAGAGACTGCACTAAATGGAGACTCCTAGTATGAGTAAAGCACAGTAGCCTGGAAAATTCGAATTTCATTTTACATTGATCAAAAGGTCATGCTCAAAACTGACCATTTTCCTTATTAAAATCACACAGGTCTTTAGATTTGGTGTTTCATTTGCTTATTGAGGCTGGAATGTTTTCATGAATAGAGATGTGTTCATTCTGAATCTTGATTTCAAACATTGTAAAACTATGTTAGAGAGACTACTAGTCTGTTGTTATTATTCTTAGAATTCTAGCAACTGCTCAGTCAGAATTTGTTTTTTTGTTATCACCCATAAAAAAAAAAATCAGCAGAAATTAAAATGAGCAGGATGGGGCTGGGTTAAGATAGGCTGGGGCCGAACGAAAACTGTATGATCATGAGACAAAGGGAAGCCATGGAGTGTAGCTGAGGTAAGAGAACAGTAAGCAAGTTTGGCTTGGAGGAGACAAGGAACTTTGTAAGTGTGTACATACCTTCTGCATTCATCTCAGGAGGTTTTGGCAAGTTTGTTTCTTGGCATGAGAGACCTGCTATAAGGATGGGAGTATGTTTGCTAAACCACATGTAAAAATACAATACAAAAGATTAAAAAGAACCTGTGAATTTCAAACAATGGCGGTCTTAGCAGCATAAGCTTAAATCCATTTCTACTCCAAGAACATATAATGTTCCCAAATAATGTGAATTGGGTGTCTTTAAAACCAAGAAAATGCACAGCCACACTATGGAATCAAGAAGTCAGGGGGTTCTCAGTGAACCTTGAAAGTAGGACTCCCGCCTAAATAGGACATGAAACAGATGTGAAGACCCAGGTATAAGCCAAGGTCACAGTTTTAAGGAGAGACTGCCTTTGCCAATCAGGCCATCCCGGCTGCAGTGCTGGAGTTTGCCACAGTGGCCAGGACAAGGGAGATGCCATAGGCATAAAGGCCAACACCCCAGAAGCAGCTGTAGCCACTTTACTAGAGGCCAGCCAAGGCCAAGGTGTACACAGAAGGACTCTGTGGAAGTAGATGAGACAGTAGTCAAACGTCTGAGAAAGACCAGACCATGAGAAAAGACAATGAGCTCAACAGATGCAGAACCTTACACCTGAAGAACAGACCAAAGGGTAAATGGCATTGGAATAAGCCTGTTTAATGTTTTCAGAGAAATACAGGAGAGAATCATGATAATAGGAATATGAAGTTAGAAACAAGAACAGATAAATATTGAAAAGAATCGTTAGAGGGGGCTGGGGGGTTCAGTCTTTTAAGCATCTGACTCTTGGTTTTGGCTCAGGTCTTGCGGTTCATGAGTTCAAGCCCCACATCGGGCTCTGAGCTGACAGTGTGGACTGTTTTGGGGATACTCTCTATCCCTCTCTCTCTGCCCTTCCCCTGCTCGCTCTCTCTCTCTGTCTCTCTCAAAATAAGTAAATTTTTAAAAAAGAATCCTTAGAGATTGAGAAAAATGAAAATCAGAATAAACACACTGAAGAGAGGATTGTCCATCAGTAGGATAATGAGTCAGCAACTTGTCAGATAATCATACAGTGGCTACTAACCAGCATTAGAGGGAATGAATGGCTGATACAGCAACATGAATGAATAACACATTGTGTTGAGAAAAATATGTCACAAAAGAATACATACTTTATGCTGCCACTTGTAGGAAGTTCAAGAATAGATAGGAACCAGAACAGTGGTGAGTTCTGGAGTGGAGAAATTGATGGGGAAGGAGAGGGTGGGGCTCTCTGAGATTATGGAGATGCTCGACATCCTAATGGATGTCAGTTAGAAGGGTGTATACATTTTTCAAAACTTGATGAGTTGTATACCTAAATGTATGGGTTTTACTGCCTGTAAATTTTAAAAAATTAAACTTCTGTTAAAAAGCAAATTTGTGAGCTGGAAGATCAACTTTGAAGACTTCTTCCAGATCTCATGACAAAGAAAAAGAGATGAGATAATAAAGAAAGCTCAGGCAGTATGTCAGGTTGATCCAGGAGTGCCAGCCTGTTCAACAGGAGAGAGAGGAAAGGAGAGGAG